TGTCCGCAGAAGCGGAAATGCCTGTGCAGATATAGAAATTCCGAGGGTTAGATTTCATAAGTTAGAAAAATCAAATTGAGCTCGGGGAAGGGCGATTTTCAGAGGGTTTTGAAGAGAAGACTATTGGGTAATGTTTCTTTAATCACTTCTAGTTATATGTCATCATTTTGTAGTTAAATTCATCATTAAAATTCGAATTTGGGATCAAAAATTGGAAAATTGGGTGAAACTTTAACACTAAACTATTGGGTTTTTGAGTGGGTGTTTGACCTCCGATTTGGGAGATTTTTATATGGTTAGACTCGTGAGAGTACGAGGGTTCTGGAAATGTGAAAATTATTCGATTCCGAGATGTTGGCCTGAAGGGCATTTTGGTCATTTTACCTAATTTCACGCCGTAGCTTTGAATTAAATAGCAAAACCAGTTGTTTTCGATATTGTTTACAATGTGTAATTGAATTGAATAGATTTAGGCCATTTGAAGTCGGATACTCCTGGCAAAGGCGTGATTTCTAGTTGATTTTGAGCCGGTTTGAGGTAAGTGGCTTGTCTAACCTTGTGTGGGGGACCTCTTCCCCTTAGGACATGATATTTGATATTTGAAAGCCTCGTACGTGAGGTGACGAGCGCGTACTTGAGCTAATTGTTGGAAATCCGTTTTTACTTGAAGTATTTAAATTGAGTTTTTTTTTCTTGCTTACCTGTTTATTTTGAATTGTAAGTTTGTCCTATGCTAGTTTAGAGAAGCATGTTTAGTTGACTTACTTGCTTAAGTGCTTAAACTGTCTTGTTATATTCCGTGGAGCATGTTAGGCTAGGATTTCTATTACTTGTTCTGAGTTTAGCATTTATCCTAATGTGTTGGGCTGTTATTGTGTGTTTTAAATTGGGACTACGGGACGGCATTCCGGGAGATCCCCCTGTACTTGTTATGTTCTGGATTGAGGTGCGGGATACCAAGAGATCCCCGGCACATGTAAATGTAAGATTTGAGGATACCAAGAGATCCTCGGGATACTAAGAGATCCCTCGTGTGAATGATGAGGATACCAAGAGATCCTCGGGATACTAAGAGATCCCTCGTAATGATGAGGATACCAAGAGATCCTCGGGATACCAAGAGATCCCTAGTGTATATGATGAGGATACCAAGAGATCCTCGGGATACCAAGAGATCCTCGGCTATTACTTCTTGTTGTGAGCAGTATTCCTTATATTGTTTTGTTTCTGCTTCCTATTACTGTTTCCCTTATTTATCCTGTTTAGATTCTTGATGTAGACTTTATCTATACTGTTTCCCTTAACCTATTATATATTGTGTTTTACCTCAGTAGGGCCCTGACCTTTTCTCGTCACTACCCAACCGAGGTTAGGCTTGGCACTTACTGAGTACCGCTGTGGTGTACTCATGCCCTTCCTGCACATGTTTTTCATGTGCAGATCCAGGTACCTCCACTCAGGCGCACTATCCTTGAGGCGAGGAGATACACGGAGACTTCGAGGTATATCTGTCGCGTCCGCAGACCAGGAGTCTCTATTCTATTCCAGCTTTAGTACTTAGTTTATTCCTTTTCTCTCAGTTGTTTAGATATTCTGGAGTTAGAGCAGCGTACTATGTTTCTGATAGCCTGTGGTTCCCGTGAGTTTCCGGGTTTTGGGTTGAGATTTTAGGCTTCCGCGATTTATTTTTGAGTTGTATACGCCGGGTGGCACTTATATACCGTTTTCTTCTAGTTTTGCTTAATTTAATTAAATGTTTCCGCAAGTTATATGAATTTCCGCACTGTTAGACTTACCTAGTTGTAGGAACTAGGTGCCATCACGACATGTTCATGGAGGGTGAACTGGGGTCGTGACAATAACCCAACAAGAATTAATAAAATTATGACTTTACCCTTACGTATATACATATGCTAGGGCTTCAGTTCATTCTCTCCTATTCTTTCTCAGCCGCAGTTGCTTCATCTTCATTCTTCATGGACCTTACTAGTTACTCCTAGCATAAGTCTTTAGTCTTATACATTAGACTTTTAATTTCTATAACAAAATTCATCTTCATATAGAGATTGCTCTATGGTTTCTTTTTTCAAATTAGGCATTTGACAAACAACATCTAGTTTATCTTGGACTGTTTGAGGGCTTCAACGCTTGTGGAAGTGCAGGTATTGTGTGAAATAAAAATTCTAAATCAACTATTGTTGTTATCACATCAGAGGAGGCAGCTAATGCCTTGGAAAATTTTGTGGGAATTGCTACAGTTTGATAAGTATTTATCCAATAATTTTTTGGTGAAGCCTATAAGGATTGAGTAGATGTTGTTTTGTTAACTTGAATTTGAAATGTTAGTATTATATGTTTTGACTTGTTAATTTTAAGGTGAAATTGCTACTACTTTATATTATTATTAATGTATTTGGACAACTGTTATTGAAGAATTAGTACTATTCCAGTTGTGGCCATTGGACAGAACGCAGAAATGGGTAGTATACTATGAGCCCGTTTGGATGGGCTTGTTTTAAGTGACTTTTAAGCCAAAACAGCTTTTAAGCCATAAGTTAGAAATTCTAGCTTTTGGCTTTTGGCTTGTTTTTGTCATTTTAGCTTAAAAATAAGTGCTTAAAAGCACTTTTTTACTTTACCCAAACACTACAAAATGGCTTAAAAGCACTTAAAACAAGCCAATCCAAATGGGCTATATATGTGAATTCTTCTTCTCTTTTTTGCTTAACTCTAAATTGAGTTATCTTATCGGGTAAACCAACAACCAACCGATAATGATCGATAACCGATTAACTGATACCTGATAACTGATATCTTATCGGTTTATCAAATTTGTAAACCGATATGCTAAACCGATAATATTCATAATCGAACCGAACCGACCGATGCCCACCCTTAATACTCGTAACTTTAGAAATATCATGCCGCTTATTTTGTAATATATATTTGAGGCATGTATAGATTCTTTTTGTGCAAATAATAAAATAATTATTTTTTTGCTTCTTTTGAGAATAAAAATAATTGTTTCTATTTCTAAGACAAAAAATAATTTTCTTAAAACAAATTAGAAAAGAAGTGATCTGAAATTAAACCTGAGCACTTACTGAAAAATAAAACCATTTGATGTGTTTTCGTACTCATTTGATATTTGAGGGTCATTAGCTGCTATTGTAACTGAGAGTATAGTCTAGCATTTTAGATATTATGGCAACTCCGCCACTGCTATTGTAACGAGGAATGCTGCTAACTGCAAAGTTATTGCTAGGTGAAAAAGTTAAAATTATTAGTCGATTCTACAGTAAATCAGATTGGAGTGCTCATAGTTACTATTGAATGTTGTCTAGTTGGAGTCCCTAAATTAAGGACACAATGTGTATTTGGACTAATAAGACAGATCAAATAAGAGTGTAGCTTACTTGGCCAAAAAAACTAAAAAAAGGTAGTTGCATTTTTTGGTTTTGTTAACGAACTACACTCAAGGTGATGATAATATAAATTAATTTTCAAGCATAGGGGAATCAACAAATCAGAGTGGCGCAGCGGAAGCGTGGTGGGCCCGTAACCCGAAACCTGGCTCTGATAAATAGAGTAGCTTCTACATTGTGCCCCAACTTTTTGTCCTTTTTGCATTTCCATGAATCCTAACTAAAATCTTAACAAGAACAACCTTTTTATTGGGAAGAAGATAAACGAATGGCCCAATTTCTATAAATTACCAACTTTAATGATTCTTCCTAATTCCTATCAACTTCGTTCAACTAAAAGGGCTTCGATCATTTTCCCTTTTTTCGATTTTTTTTTTAAAATACGTTTGTCCATAAAATTTTGTAAGTTTTGGAGATATTTCAAAAATAAGTTTTTCAATAATCAAAAGGTGGTTTTGACCATTGTTTCATATTTTTCAGAAAACCCTTTTTCTTCACTCATAAAATTGCAAATATTTTTTCAAGTGAAATGCATGTCCAAACATAATTTCAAATTCCAAATACCATTTTCAACTTAACTCCAAATACTACTTTTTTTTCTTCAAAAATTATATTTTTTATGTCCGAACGCCTTCTTACTAATTCCAATAAAACACAGAAGGATATCTCCTGACTTTTCCACTAAAATTTTCTCTATTATTTTGCAATCAATTCTAAACTGCCTTTCATCTCTCCTAATTCTCAAGGAAAGCAGATAAAGGAAATATACAACTTAATTGACAGAAAGCAAGAAGTTATGGTAACATAATCTGTTGGTAAATTTTAGCATAACAAAGAGCACAAAGGGAAAGATCCCAAAGAGATTCAGCAGGATCATATACAATCTCCATGTATTCTTGAACACCATTCACAACATAAAGTAAGATATCTGCATTTCTACTTTTATTCTCTCAAATTTTGTGAATCCCATTTCAGCTGTACTCTCACCCAAAATCTAACAATTCTTCAGAAAAATCAAAGCCCCATTCATGTTGTGAAGAACACGAACTCTCATCGAACTCATCGGAGCAGTTTATCAAATCAGGCTTATGTTTTCAGTCTGAGATGAACTTAAATGAAAAATCTTGATAAGTTTAGAATCAAGAATTGACTAATTGATTAAAAACTAATAAACCACGTCTGCATAAGCGAGCTTCATTCAGCTCAATAATTTTGACATTCCTAAGGAATTATCTTGACATCATGTTACATATCTGAAAGCATCGACCACATTCAGGGACCACAATAGCACTAAGGCACACAAAAAATCACCAAAGGAACTTCATGTTTTAACATCTATAATAACAATTCCAAGCAAATTAAGATTTAACAAAAATACTGAGAATCCGAGAAAATGAACTTCAAATTTTAACATCTATACCAATTCCAAGCATATCAAGCTTAAACACGTAAAATACTCCAAGAAATTAAATCAACAAGGAATAGCAGATGCTGACAATTGGATCCTTTCATTTCCATGACAGGCTAAAATACTACATGAAAAAAGAAATGAGAAAACGACATATAACCCAAAACTGTCTTGTAAACTCCAATATCGACCTCTTCAATGGTTGGCCTTGGCAACCCTCTCAATCTCATCCTTCTTTTTAATCGCATAGCTGCAGAAACAAACATAATCCACAGTAGTAAGCAAATAAGTTGCAAACATCCAAAGAAAGTGATTTGGAAAAACAAAGGTGCACCAATAAAGTATACTATTTTATAATGAAGCAGTAAGTTCGAAATATATCTATAATTTTCTAAGATCAGTGAACACTCAAAATCTCAAGCCTTTTACCTGTTTGAAGAACCCTTGGCAGCATTGAGAGTTCATCCGCAAGACACTCAGCTATGGTCTTGATGTTCCTGAAAGCACTCTCACGTGCACCAGTTGTCAGCAAATAAATTGCCTGGTTAACACGGCGAAGTGGAGAAATATCAACAGCCTGACGCCTTACAACACCAGCTGAACCAATACGAGTTGCATCTTCCCTTGGCCCACTAGATCATCAAATGGAGAAGACAAAGTTATAAATGAGACAGATATGGGGTAGGCATGAACTTCACTTAGAAAAAAATGTTGAAGCAAGTTGAAAATATGTGCACAGAAATCATTATTTTATATGAGATACTAGTCAAAGTGTCAAACTAGTATTTCAAATGATCCACCAGCATTTTGGATACTCAACGTTCAGTATTTGCAAATATAGATGGCCAAACCAATATTTGCAAAAACCGAAACAACATTTGATGCCAAGATGGGCCCATCGCTACCCCAAAAATAAAGATTCAAGAACATGTGGATCAATTAAGTGCCCATCATCAGTGCACACCTGTTGATGACAGCATCAACAATGACTTGAATTGGGTTCTGGTCAGTCAACAAATGAATGATCTCCATTAGCTTGATGATGCGGACAACCATTAGCTTCTTTCCGTTGTTCCGTCCATGCATCATAAGAGAGTTGGTGAGCCTCTCAACAATTGGGCACTGGGCCTTCCTGAAATGCTTAGCCTGGTATCTACCAGCTGTGTGTGGCATATAAACTGGATGCTTGGAAGTAGTTGCTGTGATGTAATCCTCAACAGAGATGTCATTGATCTTCACCAAAAAGTGAGATCATAGTTATAGAGAAAACTTTTAATTGTATTCAAGATAAGTTTCAGGCTTGCTAATAGAGGAACTTTAGAATAATACTCAACTAAAAATGGAAGAAACAGAAGTAACAATCACCTAGGTATTAGTTAACACTCTTCATTTTCTATTTCTCTCCAGTGTCTGTTAACTTTTAAACATATAATTCTAACAGAATGTTCCCCACTTCCTGTCACGATCCCAGTTCGCCCTTCGTGAACATGTCGTGACGGCACCTAGTCCCTACGACTAGGTAAGCCTAACAATGCGAAAGATAAACCATAATTGCGGAAGAAAGTAAATAAAACTGAACTAGAAAAATAAAATGGTGTTTAAGGTGTCGCTCGGCACATACCACAACAATTCTCGAAGCTAACAACATTCCCAAAATCCGGAAACTCACAAATCACAAGCTAAGAGGATACATAAGGGGCTCTGACTCAGGAATATCTATACAAATGAGAAATACTGGAAAAGCTATACTTATTACAGAAAGCTGGAAAGGGACTCCTCGGTCTGCGGACGTAGCAGATATACCTTGAAGTCTCTACCAGTTCGCCTCCTTCCAAGGCTGACAGAACTGAGCGGAAGTACCTGTATCTGCACAACAAAAATGTGCAGAAGAGTAGCATGAGCACACCACGGCGGTGCCCAGTAAGTATCAAGACTAACCTCGGTGGAGTAGTGACGAGGAACAGTCGAGGCACCTACCGGTCAATAAACAGTATAATCATAGGAATAATGGAAACGACGTATAATTATGTAAAGACTGCATGAATGACCAAAAATGCTACAATTCACAATAAGGAAAAATACAACAAGTAACAACGAGAATATAATAAATGATGATACGAAATGACGGCAGAATCACAAATCCAAATCCTAAGGTCACAACACAGCAAGGGGGAAAACAAGTCAATAACTCATATCCTACAATGATGTTCACAAAGGTCTTACTCAACTCTTTCCACAATTTCACCAAGTCTCGGACAAACCACAACTCGCGAAGACCCGGTATCTGAAAATCTAACAATTGGCATCCTGTGCCCCATCAATCTCATGGTCATGCTGACAACTAACTGGCTAACTAGGGCCACTCTCCCAAATATAGTGGATAACGAGGGCGTACCTCCACCCTTAGCAAAAATCAGGAGGAATTCATCTCTATTAGGAGTGTTCGGCTACGTGTATGCTTGTGCAAGTATTTTTAACAAGAATTCTACCAATTAAAAAACATAAAAAGGGGAACGGACCGCACGTACGAATGTTTCCTCACAACTTCCAAGCGGTAACGCTCATACAGGTAAGCAACCCACAGTCACATTATTAAACAAATAGGAATGCCTCCACAGGCCGTCACAATTCTTTACAATCATCCCTGACATAGCCCACCTTATTTCGCCACGTGTGCAAATAATAATATAATAGGCACCGCCTTATTTCGCCACACGTGCATCACAATGTTCCCTCCTTATTCCGCCACATGCGCAACCCACATGTAAGCATATAACATATCCCGCCTTATTACGCCGCATGTGCAAAACATCAATCGCAACAATAGCACGGCAAAGACCTCGTGCAACCCTTCAAAATCAACCGCACGGCAGAAACCTCGTGCATCACAATATCAACAACCGCGCACGGCAGAAACCTCGTGCATCACAATAATCACAACCGCACGGCAGAAACCTCGTGCATCACAATATCAACAATCGCACGGCAGAAACCTCGTGCATCACGATATCAATGCAACACAACAAATGACAATATATGCAGGAACAAAGCAAGAGGATCAACTCAAGCATTTCCGTTCACCAAAAGACGGTACAACTAACTCACAAGGAATAACCGTAACAGAGAAATACTAAGCGCAATAAGAACAACTCAACAAGGGAGAAATAATATGAAACAACGATTCCATAATACTAAGTTCAACAACAAGGAAGTTAACATGAATCAAATAATTACAATTAAGGAAATTTCAACTAAACATGGGATATCTAACTTCTTTCCAATTAAGACCAATTAATCACGCGAGAGGTAGAATAATGCTTTCCAGATAAAGACAAGCAGTTAGGAATGCTAATGTGACTACAGAAGGGTAATTGTCTACAGTTAAACAAGTAAAAGTCAATTAGGCAACAAGAATAACCAAAAAGGGCAGATAAATTCCAAGTAAGTCATGTAGAGGTGAAACTAATAACAGGAAACTCAATCATAACAAGAACAACTTCATATTCGGTGATTACAAGGATCTAAGAGCCTAAAAGGGGCAATTTTCCAAAAATAGATCCGAGCACGCACTCGTCACCTCGCGTACAAGGAATACAATCAACAAGGAAGACTCAAATCCTAAGGGGAAGTCCCCCACACAAGGTTAGGCAAGATACTTACCTCGAACCGGCTAAAATCAACTAGCAACCACGTTCTTGCCACGAGTACTCGACTCCAAATAGCCCAAATCTATTAAATTAAATCACACATTGTAAATAACATCTCAAGCAACTGATTATACTATTTAATTCAAAGCTAAAGCGTGAAATTAGGCAAAATAACCAAAATGCCCCTCAGGCCAACGTCTCGGAATCGGATAATTTTTTACGTTTTCAGAACCCTCGTCCTCTCACGAGTCTAACCATATAAAAATCTCCCAAATTGGAGGTCAAACACCCCCTCAAAACTCAATAATTCGGTCTATGAAGTTCTACCTATTTTTCATTAAAAATCTGAAATTAAAGGAGGAAATTAAGAGGAGATTCATGGAAATTGGTCTAAATCGAGTGAGAAGCACCTACCCAAGTCGCACAGGTGAATATCCCTTCAAAAATCGCCAAGAACCGAGCTCTAGAAGTCAAAAATGTGATAACAATGGTGAAACCCTCGAAATTGGAATTTAATATGTCTGCCCAGAAAATTGGTCATCGCGAACGCGGAAGAAGAATCGCGTTCGCAAAGAAGGAAAAGTGAAGGTGTTCAGTTACTCATCGCGAACGCGACAACACGTCCGCGAACGCGAAGAAGAAGAATTTGAAGGCCCAAGGACTGCCCTTTGCGAACGCGTGAATTTGTACGCGAGGTGAAGGGAGAGGCAGAGCTTCGCGAACGCGAGGCTCTAAACGCGAACGCGAAGAAGGATTTTCTAGGTGGCCAAGATAAGCCTTCGCGAACGCGAAGGCCATATCGCGAACGCGAAGAAGGAGTACCAGAAGCAGCAACAGCAGTTCAAAAGCAAGGGGAAATGGCCCGTAGCCCATCCGAAACACACCCGAGGCCCCCGGGACCTCAACCAAACCTACGGACATATCCTATAACACCATTCAAACTTGTACCAATTCAACAAGGATTTGAGCCTAAGAACTTCAAATTTCATCAAACACGCTTTCGATCAAAAACCTAACCAAAACACGTCCGAATGACCTGAAATTTTGCACACACGTCCCAAATGGCATGACAGAGCTACTGCAACTTCCGGAATTCCATTCCGGCCCTTGGATCAAAAACTCACTATCGGACCGGAAACTTCAAAAATTCAAACTTCGGCATTTCAAGCCTAAATTAGCCAGGAACCTCCAAAATACATTCCGAACACGCACCCAACCCCGAAATCACCTTACAGAGCTAACAGAACCGTCGAATTTCCATTCCGAGACCGTCTTCACACATTTCTGACTACGGACCACTTTTCAACACTTAAGCTCTCATTTAGGGACTAAGTGCCCCAAAACTCTCCGAAACTCAACACCGAACGTCCCAGCAAACCAAAATAGCAGAAATGAACTTAGAGGAAGCAGTTAATAGGGGATCGGGGCGTGAATTTTAAAAGCGACCGGTCGGGTCGTTACATCCTCCACACTTAAACATTCGTTCGTCCTCGAACGAGCATAGAGAACACACCTGAAGTCTTCAATTCACTGAGTGCGCACTTCCAACATACACCCGCGGGTGATCCCACGTCACCTCAATCCACTTAAGCATGACGACACCATCTCAACTGAAATTTAGCCTTCCTAGCAACACCACTAAGCTTACAAGCCAGAACTCTTACCTTCCATCCATTTCTAAAAGACCCGATCCTACATTCATATCCGGTATCAGTCTCAACCAACTACTTCAATACCAGCCAACACACACAGGGTACAACCACACAACATGCCACATCACACATAGGCCCACAATAACATTTCTGATAGCAATACTTGCCTGAGATCAAATCCGAACCGGCCATAAGCCTCATATTCAACAGGAACTCTTTTCAAACCTCCACAACACTGGCGATGATACAATAACCACGAAAACCGCATAAAAAAACACCCGAATAATCAAATCTCAGCCAACACCAACGGGTACACACCCCACAAGCTAAAACTCAAGAAGCATAGAATGGAAATGACTGAATATGAGAAAGGAAACACATAAGGGAACTAACAAGCAAATCAAACTAGCACAAATTCTTCTAAAACACAAATCGACAAAAACATCTAACAAGAAAGAATGAAAGCATATAAAAGACTCACAAGGATCTTATACTGATATAACTCTCACCGCAGTACACAGCCCGGTCTTAACATATCAAAACACCTGAAATCACGAGGGTCCCGCCCTCATTACTGAATCACAAGTAGGGCACCCATCGACCCATCTAGAGACTCTCACTAGATCAATTCCATCTACAAATTACAACACAGGCTGGCTCCCACACCAGTGGAGCATAGAAATCACAGCTCGTAACCAAGAATACTTAGAGACCACATCAAACCTACCGGAACAGACAACATGAATTTACTGCTAGCCTCATAACTCTCAACAACAGCTAGAAACGGACGATAGACACGGCTATCACTCATAGAACCTCCCAACAGAATAATCACGTAACAGAGTACAAATCATGAAACGCTCCCATAAATGGAACAACAAACAAGGAGACTCGCTCCAATAAGCAGAACTGTGAAGAACTACAGATAGTGCCCCTCTATAACAAACTGAATTCGTACCTGAGTGACATTAGCTGGCGCACCGGCCTCAAACCTACTATATGAAACCCATCAACGAGCTGGGCCTCCCCCTCTTGGGCGCTCTCTACCGGCCTGAATACCTCGATGTGACACATCGGTCCGAAGTCTGGGACAATCTCTCACCATGTGGCTAGAATCTCCACACTCAAAGCACCCTCTCTGCTGACGAGGCAGTGGGAACTGTGCGATACGGGTACTCCGAGACCCATGAACACCTGAGTCACCATGCAAAGCCTGAAACGCGAACTGAACTGGCTGACCTGCAAAACCTCTACCATGACGCACCCTGCCTCCAAAATAAGGACCAGTATATCTCCTCGGTCTACGAGGACTCCTCGCCTCCTCAAACTCGCTCTCCTGATCTCGTCTGCTCTCTCTCTCATGACCCTGCCTGCCCTCTCTCTCTCTAGCATGGATACCCTCTATCCTCCTAGCAATGTTCACCACCTACTGATACGGAATATCCATCTCCAACTCATGGGCCATGCTGGACCTGATGCTAGGAATAAGCCCCTAAATGAACCGGCAAACCTTCTCGCGAACAGTAGAAACCAAGGTTGAGGCATGTCTAGCCAAACTGGTGTAACGGACAGCATACTCCGAGACGGTCATAGCACCCTGACGCAAATGCTCAAACTCCGCGCGCCATGCATCCCTGAGGCTCTGAGGAACAAACTCTCTCAGAAACATATCTGAAAACTGGGTCCAAGTCAGTGAAGCTGCCTCGTCTGGGCTGTCTAACTCATAGGTGCGCCACCAATCATAGGCGGCTCCTCGAAGCTGAAAAGTAGTGAAAGAAACCCCGCTCGATCCAGAGATACCCATAGTACGGAGAATACGGTAACACTCATCAAGAAACCCCAAGGCATCGTCTGATGCTAATCCACTGAACACCGGAGGATCATACTTCTTGAACCTCTCTAGTCTCATCTGCTCCTGCTCGGAAGTCGCTGCCATGCCCTCGGGCTGAACTGGTGTCGCAGGCGGCGCAGGAATAATCTCTGGGACCTGCTCAACCTGTGCTCGCTGCTCAGGAGTGCGGACGGCGGGAGTCTGTGCTCCTCCCCCGGCCTGGGATGTGGCTGCAGCAAGGGGAAGCATCCTGCCTGAGCCAAAGTGGTGTACATACTCATGAACTGTGCCAAAGTCTCCTGAAGGGCTGGAGTAGTAGTGGCAGTAGGCGTGTCAGGTGCCTGGACTCCGGCTGGATCTGCTGGTGGTACCTCGACAGCAGCTCGCGCAGGTGCTCTCGCTGCACCACGTGCGCGTCCTCGAACTCTACCCCGGCCCCGACCTCCGACGGCTGCAGCAGGGGGCGCGGGTGCCTGATCACCTCGGGTAGTACGTGTCCTCACCATCTGTGAGAGAGTAGAAGACAGAGGTTTAGGATTGTGGATGTCAAAAATCTCGCACGACAGGGAAATCAAACAAAGTGGAATTTTCCTAACGGTTACATAGCCTCTCGCAGATAAGTACAGACGTCTCCGCACCGATCCACGAGACTCTAATAAACCGGCTTGTGATCTGTGACTCCTATGAACCTAGAGCTCTGATACCAACTTGTCACGACCCCAGTTCGCCCTCCGTGAACATGTCGTGACGGCACCTAGTCCCTACGACTAGGTAAGCCTAACAATGCGGAAGATAAACCATAATTGCGGAAGAAAGTAAATAAAACTGAACTAGAAAAATAAAACGGTGTTTAAGGTGCCGCTCGGCAAATACCACAACAATTCTCGAAGCTAACAACATTCCCAAAACCCGGAAACTCACAAATCACAAGCTAAGAGGATACATAAGGGGCTCTGACTCAGGAATATCTATACAAATGAGAAATACTGGAAAAGCTATACTTATTACAGAAAGCTGGAAAGGGACTCCTCGATCTGTGGACGTAGCAGATATACCTTGAAGTCTCTACCGGTTCGCCTCCTTCCAAGGCGGACAGAACTGAGCGAAAGTACCTGTATCTGCACAACAAAAATGTGCAGAAAAGTAGCATGAGCACACCACGGCGGTGCCCAGTAAGTATCAAGACTAACCTCAGTGGAGTAGTGACGAGGAACAGTCGAGGCACCTACCGGTCAATAAACAGTATAATCATAGGAATAATGGAAACGACATATAATTATGTAAAGACTGCATGAATGACCAAAAATGCTACAATTCACAATAAGGAAAAATACAACAAGTAACAACGAGAATATAATAAATGATGATACGAAATGATGGCAGAATCACAAATCCAAATCCTAAGGTCACAACACAGCAAGGGGGAAAACAAGTCAATAACTCATATCCTACAATGATGTTCACAAAGGTCTTACTCAACTCTTTCCACAATTTCACCAAGTCTCGGACAAACCACAACTCGCGAAGACCCGGTATCTGAAAATCTAACAATTGGCATCAATCTCATGGTCATGCTGACAACTAACTGGCTAACTTGGGCCACTATCCCAAATATAGTGGATAACGAGGGCGTACCTCCACCCTTAGCAAAAATCAGGAGGAATTCATCTCTATTAGGAGTGTTCGGCTACGTGTATGCTTGTGCAAGTGTTTTTAACAAGAATTCTACTAATTAGAAAACATAAAAAGGGGAACGGACCGCACATATGAATGTTTCCTCACAACTTCTAAGCGGTAACGCTCATATATGTAAGCAACCCACAATCACAATATAAAACAAATAGGAATGCCTCCACAGGCCATCACAATTCTTTACAATCAACCCCTGACATAGCCCACCTTATTATGCCACGTGTGCAATTAATAACATAATAAGCACCTTTGTGAACCATAGGTAAGGATCTACATAGGTAAGGGATACCAATTTTTGCTAGAAAAATCTCAGCCTTGTAGAGATGTCTATATACCAGCAGAAATTATGTAGAGAACTTCTAGTGCTAAATGGAGCAACATAGTATAATTTAAAGGAAGTACATTCAGCTTGATTCTTCTAGGAAAAGGAAGGAGTTCTTAGCAGCAATAAATATGTCATTATGAAAAAATGAGTTATTTAAAAGGAATTAAGAGAAATGGAAGGTACCTGAACATCGTCGTAGGTCCAGTAATTGAAAAGCATAACATCGTTGTGAACCTTATTCTCTGCGCTTGCATCTATGGGGGCGGCTACTACACCTGCGTCCATAGTTTCTTCTCTGCTCCGATTCTTCACCTGCTGTACTAAATCTAATAGTTAAAGCAATGCTTTTCGTATGATTTTTGTGTTTGTATATACAGATGAAGAGATAGAGAGAATAAGGAGAGAGTTGTTCACCTTCGGCGGAGAAGAGTCTGTGCTGCTGTCTGCGGTCTGCTACTGCTGCCGTATCAGAGAATGAGTACGTTAAAACCCTAGAAAGTATATAGCATGGTTTCGGGGAAGTTGGGCAAAGGCTAATGCGATAGCTCGGCCCGATAAATATTGGGCTTCTGCTCTGCTGTGTCGACGATCCGACTTTATTGTCAGGCCCAAGTCCACTGTCTTTGGGTCACAAACAGCCTGAAGAGATTTTTACCTAGATGTATGTACTATATTAGAAACTTATTTATTCTCACTGTTTAGGTTTTAACTTAATTACAAGTTGATATAAAATTTATCAATTATATACAAATTAGTATTAATGAGTATCCCTTTATATTATGAATTGAATAGGGAATATCAGTTATTTCCCATATCTCTCTCTCTCTCTCTCTCTCTCTCTCTCTCTCTCTCTCTCTCTCTCTCTCTGTTTTTCCCAATTTTTCTTCCTTCAATGTTCTCTGCTATTTATTCTTTCATGTTGTGCAGAGTTTTAATAGAATCCATCAATGGATTCCAATCGTTTTACTATGAGTTTTAACTTTGCAATTTTCTTTCATGTTGCACAATTGGTGTTCAAATTGAGATTGTCAATCAATAAATTTTGAAGGTGTTTTGCTCTCTATCATTGACAGCCATTAAAAAGCTTCAAAGTTTTGAATTCGAATTCATATTTTCAAAAAATATTATTTGTTTGGATTTGGTGTTGTTGCAAATAATTGGGGAAGAAGAAGAAGAAGAACAAGAAGAAGACATACAATATACATACAAAATTTTATTAAATTGTATTAAAGTGGCATTATAGTTGCATGTAAAATATATTTAAATTGTATTATGTTGTAATTATATTTTATTTATTTGAATGTTGTACGAAAGTTAAAAATAGTTATATAATGTAAGAATCGTTGTACGAAATTTGTATTTAAGTTATAAATACTATCTTTTTACATAAAGTTGTTGATATGTATTCAAATTGTATTAAGAGGGGAATTTTGAATGGGTTTTCATAGAAGAAGAAAAACACACCACATAAAAAATATATACAAATCATATACGAAATATATACAAAAGACATATTGTATATATATTTTATGAAAATTATATTTAAGTTGTATGATATTGTAGTTGTATTTAACTGGGTAAAAGTAATGTATGAAAGTTGTAGATAAGTTATAAATAAAATGTACACTATATAGTTAACTGTATAAAATTTATTTTTAGTTTATATGTTATTGTAGATGACAAGAGGGTTGCTCCGATGGTAAGCAACCTCCACTTCCAACCAAGAGGTTGTGAGTTCGAGTCTTTCCAAGAGCAAGGGGGGAAGTTCTTGGAGGGAAGGATGCCGAGGGTCTATTTGGAAACAGCCTCTCTACCCCAGGGTAGGGGTAAGGTCTGCGTACACACTACCCTCCCCAGACCCTACTAAGTGGGATTATACTGGGTTGTTGTTGTTGTTGTTGATATTATTGTAGATATATCAAATTTGTATCAAATATGAATATTCCAGCATTTAACTTGTTTGTCTTAGGTGTTGTCTATCGTCAATGTCTCTATTGTTTTGGTTTGGTGCTGCTTTTTTGTTGAAGCTATTAAAATAGTTTTATAAGATTTGGTTCTCAATTAAGTCTTGAACTATTTTACGTCACAGTGGTTTGACATTATTGGAACTGCTATACTACAGTTAAGGCACTAGTGGAAAGAGGAGAGGAGAGAAAAAAGGAGAAAGGGTGTAACTGAATCTACTAATTTAAGGCACTAATAATGGATTGTATATGGAGAGAGGCAACAAATAATATGGAAAGAGGAAAGGAGAGAAAAAAGAAAAAGGGTGTAACTGAATCCCCTAATTTAAGACATTAATAATGGATTGTATATAAATTGTAAGCAAACTTCATTTATGGCGGGTAATATACAAAATTAAGACAATTTTGCTACATAAGTTTCAAATATTGTATAGGAACAAAATATTGTCTAGTCCGAATTATTGTAGAAATGACACCAGGTAGCCACTCTTGAGATCTGCTATTGAGGAATTAGCCGGTGCGTCCTGAATTTTAGTTTTACAATTCAAATTTTCAGGACAAAAATGTCATGGATTGTCCTGAAGCTTATTTCTAAATAGGATCTATGGGAATGGCTATTTGTTGCACTTACCCCTGTGTACATGAGGCGATTTGGTTCGATTTTTTGTTAAACCAAAATCAAGCCAACTATGTCGGTGACGAGTTTCTAGCGTATATAAAATTTTAATTCGTACTCTGTCAAATAATAGTATAGAAAGTGTCGAACCCACAGAGATTGGTTTATCTATTCTACAGATGTTTCTTGTTTTAGTTACTATTTGAGAAAATCAGAAAGAGTTGAGTTTTAAATTAACTAACTAAAAATGCACGAATGGAGCAATAGAAAATATTTTTGTTTTTCACAGATATAATAAAAAGGTGTTGGGATCCTGACTTCACTTAATATTTTTATTATATAGTAGATACATTTATCCTTCAACTTCTATTTCTCATAAATGTATAAATACCTCTCACGATTGCATTTATATATTATTACTATAGTTGAACAATTAAATGCACCCCTCTCGGTTATACAAATTAATCGTTAAAATAGTAATATTAAAGAACCAGAAATATATACTTGAACTAAAGTATGCTCTTTTTTAGTAAGTCCCTTTCGGTTACCCTACTTGTTATAACTGATTACTACAATATTCGCCTCTTTCGATTACAAATAAGTGTAGAATCAATTTTAACATATATGAGCTAGATGTCACTAAATATAGGTTAACATCTATCAATACCAAAATTAAGTATTACTTCTTTTGCCTCTTTCGATTACAGAATTAGTAAGAAGTTAATATGTAGTACGAAATAGATAGATGTTAACAAATTAAATAACACTCAACTATAAAGCAGATAAAATTTAAATAAAAAGCTTCAGCTCAAGCATGTGAAATTGAAGAATAATATCTACTATTATATAAAAATATTAAGATCCGTCATTTTTTCCAACACAAGAAAAGTTACTCCATATTGGAGCCAATACCGACAACGGAAATAATCTTGCATATTAAATAAGAAAATAGAAAGAAATATTCAAGAGAATTTCCTCCTATTTAATTAAAAACAGGAACCAGAGTAATTTTCAATACTACAATTTATTCAGAACTAGAAATGAAGCCAGAGTAGTGGATAAAAGAAGAAACAGAAGCAAAACTAAAGAACAAAGAGAAAGGAAAAACTTTCTGCTCAATATTACACTTCTCAGATTTCTTCCCCCTTTCCTTCACGAACGATGCCTCTTTATAGGCAAGCCATGACAAGGTTTTCAATTATCTTCTGGATATGAACTTGTCATGGCTGGTTGTGGCCTTGTTATGCTTGGTTATGAGCTTCTTTGGTTATGGATCGGTTATAGTTTATTGTAGCCGGTTGTGAGTCGGCTATAGTTTGTTGTAGCCGGTTGTGAGTCGGTTGTCCTTTGTCATGGCAGATCACGTCTTTCTTTAGCACCATATTATACTCTGCTTTAGCTTGTCCGTTTTTCTAATTTTTTCTCTGTAATCTTCTCGTTCCCGGACCAATACTTCTGTAACCTTTCCTGCATAATTTAGACAAAGTATGGAAGAAATATGATAGTTTTTTTTTGTGTTTTTCAAAGAAATTATATGTTAAAAATCAAGTAAAATGCACTTATCAGTCGGTTTACTAAATTTATAATCAATCAAACCAGCATAAACTCTATTTTTCGGTTTCGGTTTTAATCGATTTTCTCGGTTTCCTCAATTTTTTAATTTGTTTTTTATTTTCTTTATTATGCTTGAAAAAGAGATCAAATAATCACGAATCATAATTCCAAGACCTTTCATAATAGAAAATGTCAACAGATATGTGATGACGCAATATTCACTTTGCCCCGTGGGATTAGGTTCTCGGAGATGTTAAATAAGATTTTAAATAATTAATCGATTAAGAGAATTTAATACCAGGAAAGAGTAAATAAGTCAAACTATAATTCTTCAACATTAATGACAAAAAGAAAGAAAATATTGTTACCAAAAAATCAAAATAAAAAAGAAAACATAATCTATATCTATCTATACTATATTAAAAGCACGAAGGCCCTTAGCGAAATATCGTTCGCCTTTTTTACCCTTTAAAATAGAATTTACAATGGACAAAATAGTCATTTAATTATTTTCCTAATATTTATGAGACATTAATTAAACATTGTATATTTACTTCCTTATAATTTGAACTATATAAAACTTCTAATATTTAGAAATTTAATTCACCTAAGGATTTTATATCGTTAAATTTTTTAATATGGTATCCAAATCAGTCTAGAACTCTTTACCTCTAATAAATATGCCTAAAAGTACTTCTAATATGGTAATACGAGATAATTATAGTTTTCCTCTCTTCTTCAATCTCTCTTGCCCTTCTTCAGTTATACTCTTTTCTTTCTAATAGACTTTCACGAGAGATACACTTTTAGTTTTTTTTTTCTCTCCATTTTAGCTTCTTATTTTAGTTGTTGGAGTCGTATTTTCAAGTAAATTTATTAGAAATTTATGATGCATTGATTTTTTTGTAGAAGAGATTCAGATTCTTGAATTTAGTCAATTTTATTTTTGAGTTGTTTTTTAAATCCAATTGTATGCAATTATATTAATTTCATAATTTGTTGGGAATATTGCTGGGTATTTAGTTAGAAATCCTTTATTGGAGATGGATTATTTTATTTTGATTAGAAGTTAATTTTGCTACAGGTTTAGAAGAAATCTACCTGCAGATTGTAGGAGTTCAACAAGCACTTTGCATTGGTGCATTACGGCAAGTAAAGGACTTATCATCTTGTATGCCAA